TTGAATCAGATGACGACTCTGTTTTGAATCAAGTGCTACTTTTTTTCTCAATTTATGACAGTGTCTCTTATCTGTTTGCAACTGATCATCTTAGAAAATTATATGTGCTAAATAATTTACCCAATAGAATTTGATGTGCAGACTAATGAATTTCATCAAGTAACTGAAAGTCTTGGTGATTCTAACAATAAAATAAACAATGAAGCATTATCTATTGTAGCAGAAAATAATAATTTAATAATATTTATGAAATAAAAAACAAAAAAAGTCTTGAAAAAAAAATAAAAAAGTTGCTTATTATATTCTAATTCTTTAAACTTTGAGTATCGAGTTTCAAAAAGATGATGTATGGGCTAGTTGTGAACGAGGCCGTTATGAAGCATCTAATAGTGATGGTATTATTCAAGATTATTCTGATAGGACACATTTTATAACTATAAATGTTAATAGCAACAAACATATTCGTTTACATTTGTATAATGATGAGTTAGAAATCTGTAATGCACTGGGACACAGAAGGGGTACCCACAAGGTTTCAATTTTTTGTTTTAAAGTTGGGAATATTGAAAGACATTTATGGATAAATCTTGAGCATATTTACTTAGTATAAGTTAAACAATATAGTGCTGTCAAAATGTTTGGATACAATAAAATTTAAAATAAACTACGGAATGATATTAAATTGCATGAAACAGATGGATTTGATTTAAATATTCTTGGCAAAATTAAACATATTAATGTTACTATCATTACGTTGTCTGGCGATAACTTAACCTCTCAATCTTTTGGTGGTTTTTCTACTTGCTTCTCATCTGGTAATGTTGGTTGATACTGTATGATTTCATTTAATTTTCTTTGAAATGTTCATTCAGAACCTTTATGTCAACTGAGAACGTTAGATTTACATAATTATCAAGAAGTAAAGATTGACAAATTATTTCATGGTGTGTATGATGTTAATAGTCATTGTTCGTTATCTAATTTGCAGTATTTCAATCCAATTGAATGTTTTCCGCCTGACTTTATGCATGATGGGCTGGAAGGGCTGTTGAGTGTAAATTTTTCAATTGTTGTAAGAAATCTTATCAAAGAAAAATTACTCACTATTTATCAATCGCAATGAGAAATAGCGAAATTCAAGTTTGGTATTCCAGATAATTATAATAAACGTGCTAAATTACCTGTTCCAAAAAATTTGGCAACAACGAATAAAACAATCCAAGGAAAAGCAGTAGAGCGATTGTCACTGTTTCATTTTTTGCCTATATCTGTCAGCCGTTTAGTAAAAAATCATGATATACTTTTAAATAACAACTCTTGGCTGCTTCATTTGTTTTGTCGGCAAATAGTGCAAATCATTTTGGCACCATAAATTGATATAAATTGAATCCCTATTCTTGAGCATCCGATTTAAAAACATCATTTTTTGCTTGAACAAATTAGCCCAGTATCATTTATACCTAAAATACATTTTTTGGTACATTATCCTAGATTACTATTGCACTTTGGACCTTTGCAACACCTCTGGGCAATAAGATTTGAAGCTAGACATCAATACTTTAAACAAATTGCACGTCGTGTAAAAAATTTTATAAACATAACATTTACTTTAGCACAACATTATGAAATGCGCAAGTGTTATGAATTTTGGAAGAAGCCCATACTATAAGGGTCCAAAAATTTTAAGTTGTCAAAAATCTTTATTTATAGATTCACTTTCATTTGAACTTGTTGATGTCATGAAAAAAAATTTGTTAAACTCATCAAATAAATCATGACATGACATGACAATCAAAACATGAGCAGTTTATATCTACCACAAAACATAGAATTACTAAACATGTCTTTTACACAAACACAAGTGTTATTTGTAAAAAATACTTGTATTTTTTATTTTCAAATAAAAGGTTGCAATGACATGCCTTTGTTTGATAAAGTTGAATATATATTATTGTTTCAACGAACTTGGATTATAGGCTGTGTGTTGCAAATAATAAAGCAACATATCGAGTTTGCTGATTTTTACAATATAGAGCAGTCTAATAATTGGGTTAAGATGATACCTGGTGAACATGCTAATTATCCGTCTATGGGTTCTTATTTTGTTAATAATCAAGAAGGCATTCTAATTCGGCATCGTGTTTGCTTAAAAGATAAATAAGAAAATTGAAACATTTGTAACATTAAAATATATATTAAAATTTAGTATCCACAATTATTTCTACATTTGGTTTTGTATATGTTACCTGGGTGGTGTCTGCCAGATAATATGTTACCTGGGTGGTGTCTGCCAGATAATATATTACCTGGGTGGTGTCTGCCAGATAATATGTTACCTGCAAAGTGTCTGCCAGATAAAAAAAAATTCAGAACTATCAGATTTCTGCAAAATAAAAATCATGAAAAAATCTTGAAAATTTTGAAATTTAAAAATTCACTTTAAAATATAAAAAATTCACCTTAATTATTGGCAGACACCCTAATTAACTTTATTTCAGTTTTGACTTTACTTGAACTTGTATATAATTAGTTTAATGATATTGTTCTTTTAGTATATTCTGTTTTTTAATTTACTCAACTGTTTATAATTGACTATATATTTTAGTTTTATTGTAGAAACATGCAAATAAGTTGCGAAAAAAAAACATTGTAAATGTTTTATTATTTGATAGAGTATTAAAGTTTTCTATAATTCAAATAAGTGATCAAATTTAAAATGCTTCTTTTTAAGATATGGTCAGACGATCGTTTAGTCAAAAAAGCAGTTATTGGTGGAGATTTTGATACGCTGATAGTAAAGGGAAAGCAATTTTATAATACTATTATATTATAAATACATTATCATTTTAAGTATTCCTGTAGAGAGTTAATTCGACAAAAAATTAAGTAATTGTTATTAATTTATTTTTTTTTCGCGGCTTTATTTTATAATTTTAATTCCAGCGCACAGTGGGACAGAGTGTGCCAAAATACCAAAAAATTACTATCGGCATTGTATTCTGAAAATATGTCATAATGGTGAAAATATGTTTATTAGAGGAAATATATAGTTAAAAAAACATTAAATATTAATTTAAACGTTGTTTTATGCGGTTATATACACGTGAATTTGACATGTGTTTAAAAACGGTTTTTTGCATTTTTTAATTATCAACTTTCTTACGCTACTATTGTTTTAAGTTTGTTTTATTGAGTATGATTTTAAAATATACCATTTGAGTTAACTTTTTTTTTTGCTCTGACTATTCAAAACTATTAAACTTAAGTGTAATCTCCAGTTTTTATGCATCAGTGACAGGCTGTTTTGGCTTTTTTTTTGCTACTAACCTTTACTATTAGGTATCAGATAAACCGTCCTCCAATATCCTCCAAAATAAAATACGTTTATATATATATATATAAAATACGTTATAATATATATATATATGTATATATATATATATATATATATATATATATATATATATATATATATATATATATATATATATATATATATATATATATATACATATATATATATATTATAACGTATTTTATATATATATATATAAACGTATTTTATACGTTTGAAAGACGTGTTTTTATGGTTTAATTTAGGTTGTTTAAGTACGTTTTTTAAATGTATATTTTAAAACGTTTTTTAAACGTTCTAAAATGAACGTTTGTTGTAACAGATTTTAAAAAGAACTTAACTGGTATTAATGTAGTCTTTTTTTTGTCGTTAACTATAAGCAATGATTTAATTACTAAAAACCAGTATTACGGGTTCCATAGGGGTCGTCCATAAAGTACTTACGCCTAAAATTTTTAAATTTGACCATTTCCTTCTCCCCTGTTGCCATGCGTGTTTCTAAGTCTTCTACTTTAAAATGTAGGAAATTTTTGAAATACCCTCCCCCCCTCCCAAAAATTTTTATTTTTTTCAATAAAAAGGTTTATGGGAAAAAAATGTGGAGGAGGCACCTTAGATACTTTATGCAACCTAAATGCTCTTTGTTTGCGGCACAGGATTGCAATATTAAAAACGTCTTTAAAAATATATGCAAATAATAATTTTAATAAAGTTAAATTACACGAGTTTTCATGGTTGAGTAAATAATGTTGTAGACTGCGATAAAGGAGACCGGTCTTCAATCCCCAATCGATCCATACTGTATTTTTTTTTTTTTTTTTTTGTTATAATGACGAATCAAATGAAAATAAACTTTACTTAAGGCGAACGTTTTTTTTAGGCACCCCTATTTAGTAAGTTAGTAAAAAACGAGTCCTACGCAAGATCAGTAATATCAAAAACAAAACCTAAAACCCAGTGCTGAGGATAGGCTACCCATACCCCTTAATTGGAATAAATTAAGTGGTACGGGGAGGAAAAGGAGTGGTCAGAATTTTTTGCTCTTTTACCAACTTAAGATGCTTTTCATTTTAGTAAAATCTAGCGGTAAAATTTGAGAGATTTTGATACCTATATGAATTTTTTTTTTAAGAGCAGGGAGAGGGGGTAAAAGCTGCGGCACTGCTAAAACCTGTTTTTTGTCATTTCAAAAAATAGGTTGCCTGAAATACGCTTTACTCAGGGCTATATTTTTATGTTGAATTCTCGGATTTAAGTATTTTCCATTATTAAAAACAAACAAAATGATGCAAAAGCAACATAAAAATGAGCAATGACGAAGCTATAATAAAGGTTAAAAAATGGCTACCATTCACGAACCATCCACTAAACGGTGAGAAACACTTGGCTTTTTCCATACCTGTTTGCCGATATTGGGTCAGTTATGGCACCGTTGGATGATTATGCATGGACCATGCATGGAATGTTTGTTGAGTAGTCATGTTTGAATCTTTTTGAGAAGAAAACTTCGCCGAATCGAAATTAATTGCCAGAGGGTAACAAAGTAATAAAAAGGAGAATCAAACTGAAAAATAATAATGTTTATCAACAAAATTGTTTGTTCACCAAAAAATATCTATATACAAAAAAAAAAAAAAAAAACTGATTTCAAAAATAATAAAGACACCAGCTTAAAAAATGCTGTTTCAAAAAAATGCTATATTTAGAAGTTTGACCGATTAATTCAAGTTGGATTTCGTAATAATTTTTAATAAACATCAAAATATTCTACTTTCACTGAATCTAAATTAAACAGCAAAACAAAAGTTAACTATATTTATTTGTACTAGACAAGTAATCAGACATAAAGAATTATTAGAAAAGACGTTGTTAACAAGCTAACTTGTATTAAAGAACACAAGCTAACATGAATCATAAATTGAGCTATTTGGTACGCATCTTTTTGCCTATTTTCTATATAACAGGAATAAGGTAACGCGGGGTTTTCTTTGACATGTGGGTAACATTGACATGTGTTTGATTAAATGTTTTTACCTGTCACCTTTTAGCTATGGTTTAAATTATTTTATCAGATGCTAAAGCCAAATGTTAATTGAACAAATATAACTATTTTTATAGGCATTATAAGAAGTATTATTAACAACACAGTATTGCGGATTAAAGTTAAATTATTTCCTAGTTTTTTTGTTGCCAAAAAACTTTAGTTAAAAGATAAATAAAAACATACTATAGTATTATTTTATATGTAATTTAATGATGTCGTTTTTTAATACAAAACGTGCCAGATTTTTTGATCGCATTTTAAAAAAAAATGCATATTTATGTTTTGGGGTGATATTGACAGGACTGTTTAATTCATAAAGTCATATTCTTGGCCTATCAGGACTGAAATATTAAAAACCAAATTTAGTTTGTCGAAAAAATGTGTTAGTGTTACCACATTTTATTTTATGTAAAAACTAAATTTTTCCATAAAACATAAGACTTTTAAATTTTTTCAAATGCAGTTACCCTAATTTTACCTTTTACTGCCAATTTTTTTTTTAGGTTTTGGAAAATCAATGTTTAGGCTAGTTGGAAATCAGGTGATCTGACTTGTTTGTTAAAGACAATTCAAAGAACTTACTGTGAGAATTTGTGACTAATTATATAAACTTTTAATTTATTGTCTATTTTGTTTTAACTGCTTTTTGACTATTTTTTTTATTTAACGGCTTACTGTAATTAATCTTAAAAAATTAGATGATATTTCATATAGTTAAATATATATTAATTATTTGAAATATTTATAAATGTATCAAATAGCATAATTTGTGTAAAATGTTATAAAATGCACAATTTAATTATAAAGTCAGTAGAGAATAGGTGCGATCGTTTACAGAAAATTGAGGAAGCAAGATGTAAAGGCAAAATGGCAATAAATGCAATAAAAACCAACGAACATCAGGATTTTTTCCATTGATCTAGACCTGAACCTGAGTCTAAAAAAAAGGTTTTTTAGATAATGAAAGACTACCTGATAGATTCAATTGTTCTAAAAAGATAATAAACTTAAGTGCTGAAATCTGGTTGTCGGTATTGCTTTGGTTTTTGCTCGATACATAACAGATATACGTGCACAAACTTTATTAGTAGCTGCAATCTACAATAAAGCTATTGTAAATTTAAAAAAATATTATTCAATCAAAAAGTAAAGTCGATAGAAAGAGGTTTAGGACGATTTAGATATTATGAGACACGCTCATGCAATAAATTATTAATGCTCCGAAGGAAAAGCTCTGTTTATATTGTGATGGAAAGCGGATGAAAAAAAGTTAAAAAAAATTTTAGCATAACTGTATTTTTAAAAAGAATAGCAGTCTGTATTACACTTACTGATATAGATGACAATCTTGATTATCTACTGCGTGTTGTTCAGTCAGCAAGCTTTTAAGGTAATTTAAGGACCAGGCTAAAGCCGTTTTAAATTAGCTAAAATACTTCAACATGGCAGATAAAATTTTTGAAACTGTTTTTGTAATGGTTTTTATGGTTTCTCTGCAGAAGACGTTTGCTAGAGTTATATATCTCCTAACTTACGAAAGATTTGTCATAAAAAGACAAATAACTCAATGAAAAAACTATAATCAGGAAGTTGACACGGATTTGATAAACCCAAATTTATTAATTATTCCACTGAAATTTATGAGTTAGTAGGTACAGAAAAATGAATCCTGTTGAAAATTTGAGATGTCGCGATGGTGAAGTAAAAGAGTATTGGATGAAATCAAAAATTTTGTTTAAATTCAACTTGTGCGAACGATTTTTCAGTAAGAAAACTACAACTTATTTCTAATTTTGTTGGTGGATCCAAGTCTAAAATTATGCAATAAAACCTTATGCTTGTGGCCAGGGAAAACACAAAGAAACTAAAAAAACCCTGTTCATTTAACAATTGAAAAGATTATAGGTAATCATTCCGGGATTTTTTTGACTAATACTTCATCAGGAAATATGTGAAATTTAGATTTAAAAATAAAAATGGAATTTTACATATTGCTAAAATATAAGTCAGAAAAAGCTTTTTTATATACATATTTGCAATGAAATGGAAATAAGTTGCGCGCTTTCTTAAATTAACAAAAAGTAAAATTTTTGGACACTCT